ACCTTATTGTAAATTAATATTAAAAACTAAAAGCTGCAAAAAATATATTTTCAAACTATTGTCAAATTTAGTCTAATTAAAAACATGGATGAAACATGAAACAAATAAAATAAAACACATACAAAGCAGAACACAGCTAAATGAATCAAAAGTATGTCTATGTGATATTAAATTTTCTGAGACAATGAATTTTGGTTTTTCATTTTTTTTCCCCTGTAAGAGGTTTTTATTTAATAGAATTTTTGGACAAAAAATCGCAATATATCGCAATATATTGCCTTGCTTATAGTATCGCAATATATCCCGATATATCCCGATATATTGCCTTGCTTATAGTATCACAATATATCGGGATATATCACATCATGAGCCCTCTGTCATGATATGTATCGTATCGCCAAATTCTTGCCAATACACAGACCTAGTTTTGAGTCAGCTCTGTTAGCAAAATATCAGAGATACTGATGGTTAGATGTACCCAATGAGATGGATTGGCTAGAGGCGCTGCGACGTGACTTCTTGGTTGGCGAGAGCGGCCATATTGTTCAGGGCGAGGACAAGATGGTGAAGCTCAATGTGGTTAGCATGGGTTAGCACATCGATGAAACTCACTCTGATCTTGACAACCAACCATTTTTCATTTGATAGAAATGTTTGTCGGTAAATATATCACACAAAAACATGTCGTCAAGTCTGCAATAAATGAAAAATTGTTTATGAAAGTCTACAGTGATAAACTGTTCAGTTGACAACCTGCCTCTTCCAATATGGCGCTCGTACCACAGCGGTCAATCTTCTGCAGCGTGACGCCTCTAGCCCAATATACATCATTAGATGATTGACGTTTGGAGTCAACCCAATTCAAGATGGCCGCCACAAATGGTTAGCCAACATAAAAATATCTCTAATTCAGTCAGTTTTACAGGTTTGAGCTCAAGTTTGGTGTGGCAGTAGCTGAGAGTCATTCACAGCATATAGTCTAGATCAGAGGTTCTCAGACTGGGGTCCCATAGCCGTATCTTCTTGGGGGTTCTCAAAAGTTTTCAATAAATTAATTCTATTTTTATTTTTTAAAAATGCATTTGGGGCACAGTATACTAGTAAAACACGCATACTAAACCAAAACAAAAGATAATATTCCCATGGCATTTAGGAGGTAAAATTATAGTAAACTATTTTTAAAACATTGGGTTTATAAGGGAAATGTAACAGACTCCACCCTTCTTCTTTTTATATTAAGACACATCTCACCCAGCTGGATCCGCCTGCTGAAAACCATCTGGGTTTTTCTTTGTGGTCATTTTTACGAGCCGAGCCACGTGGAGCGCAGCGTGGTGCGAGCTCCGACTCATGTGAGGTGTTTGGCTCCGTCTGCCTGAAGCTGATGGATGTGGAGACCTGTGGCCAGGTGAACTCTCCACAGCCTGGCAGTGAAGTGCGACATTGTGCTGCTGAACACTCAGCTGTGTTTACAGCCAGGAGCACTGGATGGTAAATGTGCCAGAGAATACCTCAACAACAACCCCGCCCTGCCTCACGCTCCCAGACAACACAAAGCCGAATCAGATAAAGACAAAAAAAAACACCATTTTATATTTCCACACCATCCTCTGTAAGCCCCGCCCACTAATTAGCCACACCGCCTCTGCTGAGGTGAGATAACAAAAGAAACTCATGTATGCATTGAAGACCCCACCAGAGGACCTTTATTGATATCTCCTACATGCCACTGCCCTCGCTCGCCTGGCTGCACATTTTATGTGTCGTGAGGAGAAATAATTCAACACGAGAAGAAAACAGCAGGACACAACATCAGACCGAACATGGCACGTTGTAATTAGTGACAAGCTGTTAGGAATAAATATAAAACATCATATAGTGAGCTCAGGATACAATGTAAATATAAAAAAAACGCATGGCGCCCAGCGAATATACTTATTCTAAAAATAAAATAACCAATTCAGACAGTTTTATAAAACTTTAAAACAAACAGCAGTGAGAAAAACTCCCTCTATCTTAGAGACGAATAATATTTAAATATGTGCAAATGTATGTTTTTGTTTATTCTCAAAAGGGCTGATTTATCAATACTACATAAAACAAGAGCAAAACTACAGAGGTTTATAGTAACTAAGTACATTTACTTTGTAAACAAACAAACCACAGCCCACTGGTCGATCATTTGGGGGYGCCAAGTGCCGCCCTTCTGGTTCTGCTCCTGTTGGAAGGACATCAGGACCGCTCCAGTCTCAAACTGGGGATATTTAGCATATTGGGTCCTCTTGGCCCGGTGTCCCAGCGTGCTCAGGTGTTTCCCGAGGACAAACGAGYTCGCAGTCTGTTGAATGTCACATGTAGCCAATCAGAAAGAGAGGTGACTTTTCTTTTCTTTTAAAAGGTCCACAAACTSTCACCAATGCTTCTTCCTCGTCGGCCATGTTGAACTCACGTTTGATCTCATGAGACTTCCTGTCTGACATCTGAAGGTTGGTGAATCTGTTGGTCTGTTGTCTGCACACCACACACTGCTATCTCTGGTTATGAAAAATCAACCAACATTTTTAAAATCTTGCCGTGTGAACCAAGGTTTAAAAAAATAAATACAAAAAATTGTCCTGTATGTTTGTCTACATGCAAAACGGGAAATTCTGGGTAATTTAATCCAAACAACTTCACATGGTTCTTAAATTACTGTATAAAATCAGTTTATCATTTGATTTTAATTTATTGCATCSAAATTCAAGATAAATGTGCAACAAAAAAAGTTTGTAAAAAATAAATAAAAATCAAACAAAAACCAACTGTTTTGGGGGGTCAAGGCTGGAAAGGGTCATTTCAACAGGGAAGTCTGCACCATGCGCCTCTTATCATTTCTGCAATCTTAGTAAATCGTTTGCAACACGTCCACTTTTAGCATGAGCTATTTTTTACTTGCGCAGCTATTTAGCACTCGTTGTCTAAGATATTGATAAATCAGCCCCAAAGTGTATTATGTCTCCAATTAATCAGTTTTTTGTTTCTAATCAGCTCTAATTTGATCTATTTTTCTGCAAAAGTCTCAAATCTAAACAATTAAATGGGTTCCAGACGCCTGCATCGACTGATTATTACAAGAAACAAATGGTTTCGCTCATTTTTGAACATGTATAAAATTACTGTGACATAAAAATGAGCCTTTGCAACTCCCAGCTGTAAAAAAACAAACAAAAAAAAAAACAACATTTTCCCAACAAGATCCAGGCTTAAATATTGCATTTTCCATTCAAAGAAGATAAAGTGTTTCAAGTTAGCTCACATTTTTAGCACCACAAACTAGTTATCAGAGGAACAAACACTCAAATTGGTTCGCTGATCAATTAAAAAAACGAAGCATAGTTTAAGTGCAACGTAAAACAAACAAATAATAATAATAATTAAGATTGTCCTCTTCGTGTCCTTTGCAGCTACAGGCTGCTGCTTTACATGTCACAGTTCTGCAGCTCAGCTGGTTTGCAACATGGCAGCAAAATGACCAGAGAATAATAAAAAAAGACATAAAAAATGTCACCTAACTGCTCATTAGGACGAGACTCGTCTTCATAAAGATCCAAAGTGTTTAACGTGAAGTGTCCAAAGGTTGGAACAGCTGCAAGACTGTCGGAGCTTTGCAGCTAATTTATACAACAAAGTGCCGTAAATGAAGGGATTCGTATCAAAACGCTTTTTGTTTTTTTAGTTTTGATAAAATGTCACTTTTAGAACAGCTGGTTTGAGTGAGGTTACAGTAAACTGATATTTGTCCATGAACCTTCAGGCATCTCAAATGTCCCAGCTGTCACTAAAATACTGGTCCTCCTCCTCTTCTTCMTCCTCCTCTTCTTCATCCTCCTCCTCTTCATCATCATCGGTTCCGTTTTGTATCTGGTCGTTTAGCTCTTCTCCTTCCACCTTCAGTTGTGCAAACATAGCTTGTAAAGTGGACTTGACTTCCTGAACTTCTTTTTCTAAAGACTGTGCAGAGCGAGTTAAGAGAAAAAAAACAGCATAAAAACACAAACATCAAGAAAATCTGAGACACTTGTTGCAGCTAAACGACCTCCGAAACGAGATGAAGTCATCAACTCGAACAGATTTACAGACAGATCATCAACTTATCCCCACTTCAGCCCCGTCTGATTCACTATTCATGAGCTCATCTGAACTGTGAACCCGTTCGAGCAGCTAAATTATTCATGGAACGAGACAGGCGAGGGAGGGTGTTTAACCTGCTTAGTAACTTGAATCAAGCAACGGTTTCAGCTTTAAGTGGAAAAATCAAAGGATTTAGGAGCAGAAGAGGCTCGTTTTACTGTTTGAACGACGACTCGTATTTATTTATAATTAAGCAGCCGTTAAAGAGCTCATGAATTCTGCAGAAAGGTCAGCTTGGACTCTTGAGTCGGTGTCGGACTGCGGTGCAACATAAAGCTGTGCTTCGAAAACACCGAGCTCTACCTGGTATTTCCTGCATAGAAACAGTATTTATACAGGTCCTCTTATAAACACTGAAAATTACTGTGTGTACGACTGAATAAATGTGAAATAAATAAAACAGAAATACTATTAAAAGCAAATTAAGAGAGTTGTATTCACTATTGAGCTGTGTTGAGTAGCTGCCATCTTGAATTTTGAACTTTCCCACTTTCCAACAGGGAATTCCCACTAGAAGAAGTGTTCCAGTTTAAATTTACGATTTGTAAGTAGGAAATTCCCATTTCTCGATACAACTGGGCCACAGCAAAGGAAGACAGCAAAAATATAGCAAAATGGAGAATTTACACAACAAATTTCAGTGTTGTATGAAGTACCACRAAGAGATACTTGTGTAAAAGTACAAGAATCTTACCAAAAAACTACTTTGGTAAAAGTTAAAGTCTCCTTTAGGAATATTACTTGAGTAAAAGTCTTAAAGTATCTGATATTTTTGTACTTGAGTATTAAAAGTAAAAGTATTGATGTAAAATGAGCAGTTAGATTTTCTGTAGCGACATTTATTAGGAGGCGACCTCCCCAAAACAATGCAGAAATGACTGTTGTATTAAAATAATTAAAGTTAAATTCAGGATGCACTAGTTGTTTCAGTTTATATACATATATCAAGGCTGTCCAAGTATTTTCCTCAAAATGAAAATCTATCTGAGGACTGCGGCCAAATGTAATAATATAATTCATGAAATACAAATACTTCTTAAGTACAATCCATTAATTTTAATAATTATGTCCTGCTGGAGTGTGACATGATTTGTTTGTGTACAAACTAAATCGGTATCAGAGTTTTATATATTTATACTTCTCATTCAACCACAGTTAAATTCACTCTGTCTAGGAGGCTCAGTTTATATGGATAGAATTTATTTTTTACAATAACAAACTGAAATGAAAACAAGTAAAAATSAAATAAAMKTAACAACTTTCTACTTCTTGCCTTTTTTTAAATATGTAAGAAGTAAAAGTAAAAAGTAGGCTGAAAAATAATTACTCAAGTAAAGTACAGAATCCAAAAAATTTGTACTTAGTTACTTTACAACTCTGACAAATTTTAATACTTTTGAACTCTGTGCAGCTCCACCTAGTGGTGGGATATTTCGTGAGTGAAATAATCAAGGTGCATTATGGGAGATGTAGTTTATGGTTCAATGCTGGCTTTAAAGCAACGTATTTCAAGACATAAATACATCTTTGAAGTTCTCACAGGCCACATAAAACGCCACGGCAAGTAAAGTAAGAGTTTAACTCACTGTTGAGCTGTGGTGAGTAGCTGCCATCTTGAATTCCAAGCTTTCCCACTTTCCAACAGGGAATTCCTGCTAAAGGAAGTGTTCCAGTTTCAATTTACAACTTGTAAGTGAGAAATTCCCATTTCCCAGTTCAACTGGGCCACAGTAAAAGTAGCTGATGGAAACGCAGCGAAATGGAGATTTTTGTGTGTTTTAGTAGCACGGGGAAGTGGAAATGTTCTTGCTCTAATTCGTAAATTTAAACAGGAACTCCCCCTCCAGTGGTAAATCCCATTCAGACTGAGACTACCCCCCAGCTTCGGTTTCAAGATGGCGGCTACTCACAGCTTCAGAAAGTTAACTCTGTAACTTCTGCTGTTAATTATCTTTCTGTGCATGTTTAACCATTCACTTGCTGCCGTCTAATAACAAATAAACTCACGAAGAAGCTCCCAGATTTAAGGTCCAGGTTCCTCATTTGTCATAAAACTGTTGCTGCCGATCATGCAACAAAATTATTCATAACAAATAAACCAGATATTGTCTTCAGGGCGCCGTGGTCCAAACAGGAAGAAGAAAAGATACTCAGGATTATATGAAACCCTTCAATCTGGCTTCAGAGGGGAGGCAGAAATCTGCCCGTCCTTGTCTTCATTTTCAATATTCACTCTCAGCGGTTGTCCATGAACCTCTTGTTATTGAGAGCAGAGATTCAATTAAGGCCCTTATAGGCTGCTGGTTTGATCTTCCCGTCGCTATGGCAACAGTAGCGCCGTCGCCAGCGCAGTTTCTGTTCTGTTCTTTTTTTTTTTCTTTTTTTTTTCTTTCTGCAAACCAACAATATCATCCGGAGTCTCCGGCGTCCTCAAGAGTTCACAACCCGGCTGCACGAGCTGTGAGTAATGAGAGACACGCGAGGACGTGGGAACAGAGAGGTGGAAGGAGAACGGGCCCGCCTCGGTCCACTTCTAACTGCCAGACCACATCCACGTCAGGAGCCTCTGCTGAGAGGACAGAGGACTGAGAGGACAGAGACTGAGGACAGAGACTGAGAGGACAGAGGCTGAGGACAGAGGCTGAGAGGACAGAGGGCTGAGAGGACAGAGGCTGAGAGGACAGAGGACTGAGAGGACAGAGGCTGAGAGGACAG